TCCTTCCTTCCTTCCTTCCTTCCTTCCTTCTCCCTGCCTCCTTCCTATGCATTCGCCTTATCCTAGCTTAATGCATCTGTGCAAAAACACAGTGTATTTCATGCAAAACAACTGGTTTTGTGCAAAAATGTCTCTTTTTTATGGGATATCTATCAGTTGACACACCCCTTCACATTGAGGATCAGACTGAGTTGCTGAGTATTCTTCAGATCCTTCTCTGTAACAATGTACTTTGCATAACAACACGGTGGCAACCATTCACAACTGGATCTCCGATAGGTTGGGATCACAACCTGATCCCTGATTGTTTGAAGTTGCTGCAACTAATCTAGGAAGGAGAAAGAAGAAACCATGAAAGGGAAGGGCTTCTGTCATCAGAGAAAATAACGCTGACAAATTTAAAAATGTGAATATTCACACCAGGTAATTTACAGAAAGATGTTTTCCCTCCCTCCCAATCCCATTGAGATCCCCATTTCAGATCTGAAGATTGAAACTGGAGGATATGTATGTCAGGCCTATTTTGATATAATAATGGGATTACATTACCACCAGGTGCCTGGGATAATGAAATGAAGTTATTCCCATTTCTGCAGCAGTCTTTGGCAAGTGAAATTCACACCCTTCCCTTTGCAAATAGATAAAGCATAAATTTAATTGGGGGTAATAAAGAAAGATCATCATCAGCTGCAGAGGCATAAGGGATGGATGCAAAACGCTGGTTGTGTACATCGGCAAATATAAATAGATACACCATCCCTGTGACGAAACGTTCCAACGGAGCTGATGTGCTTCTTCTGAAGCATTCATAAATTGTACTTTCCTTGTAAGTGTCCCTTACATAATATCTGGGCAATGCCAATTTAGCTGGAGTGGAACATTTAGGCAGCTGGGGAAATATGAAACGAATGCATGCCGAATGAATTCATTAGGCCTGGCGCTATTAGGACAAATTCATTAAAGTTAGCATCCTTTGAAAGCAATGGAGGAAGATAGGGCATTAAAAGTAAGATGAACAATGGCGCACAGTCTCTCTGCCCTCCTTCTCTATGGTTGAGATTGGCCTGCAGCGCCCTCTGAAGGTGGGAGCCAGCATGGCATCGCAATCTGAGTGCTGGACCAAGGGTGCATCTACATTGTAGAAATAATGCAGTTCGACCCCATTTTCGTTGCCACAGCTCCATCTTACAGATTTCTAGGATTAGTAGCAACAGCTCTATTTGGCAGAGAAGGGTCAAGACCTTTGCAAAACTACAAATCCCAGGATTCCATAGAATGGAGCTCCAGCACTTAAAGTGGTAGTCAAACTGCATCATTTCGACAGCATAGCCAGTATGGTGTATTGGTCTGAGTGTTGAATTATGACTCTGGAGAGCAGGGTTCAAATTCTCACTTGGCCATGGAAATCCACTGGGTGGTTTTGGGAACGTCACACTCTCTCAGCCTCAGAGGAAGGCAAAGCCAAACCCCCTTTGAAGGAAACTTACCAAGAAAACCCTGTGATATGCTTGCCTTAGGGTCACATAACGATATTTCAAGTGTGAAAGCCAGCATAGCTGTAGTGGTTCAAGCATTGGACTATGACTCTGGAGGTCAGAGTTCAAATCCCAGTTTGGCCACGGAAACTCACTTGGTAATCTTGGACAAGTCATGCTCTCTCAGCCTCAGAGGATGGCCATGGCAAACCCCCTCTGAAGAAACTTGCCAAGAAAATCTCACCATGGGTCACCATAAGTTGGAAATGATGCCAACAAAAAGATCCCAAAGGTATTTTTCTAGATGAAAGAACCCAAAAGAAGGAAATCCTTCCTCCCCTCATCCTTCTCTTTCTTCTCATCATCATCATCATCATCTGATCTGATCCAATCTCATTCTACAAACATTGATCAATTCAACTGTTATATTAATTGGCATATTACTCAACTGGAGTTGAGTCAGTTAACTGGAGAAGATATATGTGACCCAAGTACAACAACATCCCAAATCCACAAACAGTGATCCCTTTATTGGCCAACCAAGATGCACAAAATACATGTGGCAAGCCAATAAAGTGACCAACCAACCAATCAATAAATGGTTTATTATGGTCATAGACCAATATAGCCAAAGGGAACAGATTGTACCATGAAATATAGGTGTCACATGAAACCAAGTGGCATAAAATGCAATGCAATAATAGTTTCTTGTGCGTTTTTTGGGCTGTGTGGCCATGTTCTAGAAGAGAATGCAATAATACTTCTTAAAATTCCCTTTTAGCAATAGTAGTGTTAAATAAAGGGATTGCTTTTTTTTGGTGGATTTGGGATGTTGTTGTCCTTTGCTATATGGCCAACATGGCTACCTCTGAATATGCAAACCCCTTAAGCCAAGAGTAAAAACCATACAATGTTCTTCTTGTTGGCAATGTTGGTTGCAAGAGGATATTTCCCTTTTTTCAATGACTGGCAGCTAACCTTTGAAAGAGAAGCACCATAGACTCCTTGCAAAAACTCCTTTTCGAGAAAAGCACCATTAAGACTCCTTGCAATGGTTCAGAAGGTGCCTCTTTGACACCCTTTTTTGCTAATATGCAACCGTGTTTAAATGTAATTGAATTATCCGTTCGGAGGCAGGCGATTAATCAACGAAGGTCTTCGGAGATCTATAGCCGCGGTGGGTGACAATTTCCCCCTTTCCATTTTAGAGTTGAATATCTGGAGCGAAGGAAGCGCTTTCGTAATTGCCTTGATCTATGTTTCTAGGTCTTGACGCCCCGCCATCAGCAAGAGACAAACACCATGATGGATCTTTTCAATTCTGCAACTTTTCTTGGCTATATACTCTGGGCTCCTGACCTGCTGCGTTGGCATATCTCTCCCGGCTCAGCAAGCATCAAAGTCTTTGCTGAAACAGTGCACTGGTTTTGCTTTTTCCCTCCCTTCTCTCTTTCTCTTATGAAGTCTCCTAACAATAAGAAGAAGAGGAAGAAGAAAGAAAGAAAACCCTACTCTCCTTCCTTCCTTCTCCCTCTTGCATGCAGATGTCAAGCTTCAAAGTCATCGACTCCTTTAAAATTCCCCAGCGCCATTGCAGATCCTTGCAGGAGTTGAAATGCCCTCATTTCTTTTAACAGAGGAACGATTCAAAATGCCCAAAGGAATGCACTGGCAATGGATTGGCATATATTTGTTACCTTTGGCTTTGCCATCTATGACCCTAATAAATGATCGATCGATCAATCGATAGATAGATGGTCATGTTGGCCCCGTAGCAAAGGAGAGCATCATCCAAAATCCACTCAAGTTTAGTGACCAAACAGGGATCCCTTTATTTAGCACTACTATTGCTAAATTTAACTAAGGTTTAAAAAAATAGCATGGAATGATTGTTCTATTGGGAGACTCTTGCAAATATATATATATATATATATATAACCTGTGGGTACACTCCTCACCAAACACGTTGCAAGGAACCTTGCAAGACTTAAATGTGACATCTGCCAAAATAAAACAAAATACGTATGCAACTGTTCTCTTTGGGTGATGCACTGCAAGTATTTTTGGCATACACAGGGTGTCACAACTAATTCTTCTCCTGTATAAAATACGGCATGTGCGTGAGATTTTGTTCCTCCAAATCATTTGAGATCCTTCCGATGCAGCATGAGCCAGAGGAGGGGAAACAGAACAGCAAAAGAGAAAAACCAGATCTACTGTAGCAAGCAAAAAGGGGGAGAATCCGCTGCAGCGGAGGAAGCATGGTGTGCGTATTTGTATGTGATATATATATATATATATATGAGCAAGAGAGAGAGAGGGAGAGACAAAGTGTGTGTATAGAAATAAATGCAAAGAGATGTCACCAGCATTTTCCTCTGGAAGACTTAAAGGTCGGAGCAGGGCTGGCGAGAGAACATTGTACAGCAAGCCTTCACATTTGCTCAGTACCTTTCTTGGTGGCTCCTTGCACTCCCAATGTTGACGGTGACCCCTTTCTCAAGGTTAATGCCTGGATGCAATTGAAAGCACCCAAGATAGAAAGGTCATTCCTTGGTATTTCAGATTCTCCGCTGTGGGTTCTTTCATTTCCAGAAGGAGGGAAAGTATACCTAGAGGGGAGGAATAAACTCATTTTGACACACAGGGCTAAGTCCTGCTGGGTGCTGTTTAGCCTCCAAAGATGGAAGTGGCTTTGGGGGTTAAAGATCAGCCAGAAGGCCACTATTCATCCTGACCGCAGACACATCATATTTGGCAACAAAAACACTTTAAAAAAAAAAACAGCCTCGGATGTTGAAAGCTGTAGCCATGAATATTGCAAATATTGCAAACAGTGCTGAATGATTGCAAATTTGTTTCCGTTCGGTTCGAGCCTCATGGACAGTCTGGGTTTCTTTCCCACTTTGTATGTTCACTTAGCGAATTTGCAAATAGTGCCGAAGGATTGCAAATGTGATTCCATTTGGTCTGAGTTTGACGGAGAAATTGTGTTTCTTTCCCACCTTGCATGTTCACTTAGCAAATAGTGCAAATAGTGCCAAAGGACTGAAAATTTGATTCTGTTCAGTTCAAGTTTGATGGAGAATCTGGGCTTCTTTCCCACTTTGCATAGTCACTAAGCAAATATTGCAGATAGTGCTGAAGGATTGCAAATTTGATTCCATTCGGTTTGAGTTTGATGGAGAGTCTGGGTTTCTTTCCCGTTTTGCATATTCTGTTAGCAAAGCCAAATTCTTTGAAATATTCTTCTGATCCTGTTTACATTTGGGCTTTGAGAGAGACAGCACGAAGCTCATGCCACCGTCAGCTATTCAGAACTACTCTTTGTAGAAAATTCGGGCTTTTCCTTTCCTGGGGAGTGCATCTGCCTTGATGTGTTCTGGCTTTTTGCATAAGATGCATGCATAAAGAGACCCTGGATTAAAAATTCAGGGTCCCATTAGTGGCGCAGACTCTTAGGATCTCTGACCTCATTAAAAGTGAATGCAACTGCTAAGTCTGCTAAGTGACTAACCCAGACTTTAAATTGGACATTTTTCTCTTTTTGCCTCTCTCAGCACTTTCTTGGATGCTTCAGGGACTGTAACCTTGTAGCATCAACCATCTTATAATACCCATAGCCTTCCTTCTCAAGGACTGCCAAGAGGTGACTAGAGAATAAGCACTTTGCCCTGGAAGTGATCAACAAATGCCTGTGAATTGCTGCTCAGAAAGGAGGAGATACGCCAGGTGCATCTACACTGTAGAAATAATGCAATTTTGGCACCACTTTGACTGCCCTGGCTCCATCCTACAAAAATCCTGGGACTGGAAGTATGGGGAGAAGGTCTTTGGGTGCATCTACACTGTAGAAATAATGCAATTTTGGCTCCACATTAGCTGCTCTGGATCCATCCTACAGAAATCCTGGGATTTGTAGTTGAGGAAGAAGGTTTTACGGTGCATCTACACTGTAGAAATAATGCAATTTTGGCTCCGCTTTAGCTCCCATGGCTCCATCCTACAGAAATCCTGGGACTGGAAGTATGGGGAGAAAGTTTTAAGGTGCATCTACACTGTAGAAATAATGCAATTTTGGCACCACTTTAACTGCCCTGGCTCCATCCTACAAAAATCCTGGGACTGGAAGTATGGGGAGAAGGTCTTTGGGTCCTTTGGAACCATGAGTCGTAGTCCAACTCAAAGGCAGTTAATAACAACAACAACAACAACAACAACAACAACAACAACTCCATGTCTTGCTTATAATAATAGAATTCATAGAATCCTAGAGTTGGAAGGGTGCCCTAGGGCCATCTTGTCAAATCTCCTTCTGCCATGCAGGAAGACACAATCGATACATCCTGGACAGATGGCCATCCAGCCTTTGTTTAAGGACCTCCAAAGAAGGAGACTCCACCATGGGAGGTCACGGGTCTGAATTTGCAAGACCTGAGCAGAGCAGAGGAGGACAGTGGGGCTTGGAGATGCCTCATCCACAGGGTCACCATGAGTTGGGGCCAACTCAAGAGCAGTTAACAACAACAACAACAACAACAACATGTCTTGCCTTGACAAAGATGGACATAGATGCACTCAACCTTAGTGGCCGATGACCATCTCCCACACCACCATAATTCTTTGTAGCCTGGCTGGTTCAGCTTAGGACAGAGACCTCTCTTTTCCTGCTCTTGAATCTTAATTCATTTGCTCTTCTCTTCCGTGGCGATGCCAACCAAGAGTGATCTGTTTGCGCATGATCTATGATCCTCCTCCTCTTGGCCTCTCAGACTGTTCGGCTAGAAGGTAGACAATTATTCCAGGACATCAGTTCCATTACAGATCACTGCCGTTCCACAGGAAAAGCAGCCATCATAATTACATTATCTAGATCATTATTGCTCTAATAACTATGGAGCGGTTGGAGCTGAAGACTATTTTCAAAATATATTTTGTCAAGCTGCATAGGGAAAACAATCAAGGTTGTTCACACGATCTTGGTGGGCCCAGAATCTAACAATAGCCGGTTCTGAAAGTTAAGCTAAGATCCCTGTTTGGCCACAGAAACCCACTGGGTGGCTTAGGGCAAGTCACACTCTCTCAGCCTCAAAGGAAGGCTAAGGCAACGCCTTCTGAACAAATGTAGAGAGATCTTGTAGCA